TAGTATTATAAAATATTGTAATATATAACGTTAATTTTATGACAAATCTATATATTATCGCTGAAATATTTCAATAATATTTCTATTTTCTAAATGCAAGCATCGCTTCGTTTCTATCATATTGCATCCATGTTGTTAAATGAATTTTAATTTGATACACAAACGAGAAATTTTCCTCGATATATCGAACGTTTCGGTAGATTGATTCGATAGTGGCGATCGATTACGCACGAGTGAGCAGAAATTCTGAAAACAAAAGTCGGAGTGAAGAGCGGCGAGCAAACGGCGTATAATAGGCAGAATTCACTCTAGACCGATCATTTTCACTTCCGTGGAAAAGAAAAGGGAAAGTGCGCGTCATTTCAGAACAAGAAACCGTGGTTTGCAAAACGTGTGTAACGTGAAAAAAGGTTAGATTCACGTGATCAGGTTTGAAACACACTTCGAAGAAGACACTTTTCATTCAGTGAAAACAGATGGCGAAGTGAAACAGACGAGCATAATCTGAATTATATGCTCGCAGGAATTTCCATCAAATGAATTACCTTTTTGCACGATACTCTGTTATTGTTATACGGTGTTCGCTAATTGTACATACATTGTTACTTTCTTAAGTAATAATGTAATTAGTATTTACATCCTTATCCGAAATTCTATAGTACGATAATAACGTTTCATGAAATTAAGGTTTGTTTTTTTCTTTATTTTTTCATTAACTCACTTGACTTTCCGGAGTTACATTCCTGGATCGGTTGAAGAGTTCGTGGCATCGTTAAATCAAATTTTTCGTTCCTCTACGCAACGAAATAACAGTTCACGAGCACTCACGTTCGTATGATCGATCATGAAGCCATTCAAATTTATCGATGTCCATTCCCGTCGTATCACAAGAAATCGATCCTGTCAGGATCGCTTAATTTTTGATATTCCAACGAAACGTCACATTTTCCTCCGAATTTCATACGGTTCAAAGCATTGTTCGTGATTGGAGAAATAATTTTTTGGTAATTTTTTGTTGGGAAAACTTTTGAATTTTTTTAGGTTACATAAACTTATACCGTTACACTCAGTTTTTCCACTTCGACTTCGATAATGTTTTAGGTATAATTATTCATTTACACGTTATGAATCGTAGAGAAATAAAAGGAACAAAGTATCGAAACGTCAAACTGACGCGTGCCACTGACGCACGTGCACTGACTATATATAGTCGATCAGAAATCGCGTGCAAACTAGTTCGTAGAGGAACGACCTCCGACTGTGACGTTTAATCCTTGAAGTACGAATAGTTGACCTTCGGAAAAATGGAGGCACTCGTAGACGCTTCGTGGCCACGAGTGTCGACTACACTGGACTACGATACTAAGATGAACCAAGTAAACGGTCCCAGAGCTTAGTTCTAGGTAGGAGGAGCGTACGTACTTGGTTTCAATCTTCCTCGATACCTTCTCTCCTCTGGCTTTAGAAAGAAAGAAAGAGAGAGTATATATGCGCGTATGTGTGCATCCTGCAGAACTCTTCTGTGGATTTCGTCCTCCTTTTTTCCAAAGGCAAGGTAAGGAACGGGAGATTGGAAGTGTAAGAGAGAAAGTTGTAGAAATGATTACAATACAACGACGAGCATTTCAATGGCAAGTACCACTTTCGTTTCGACTAAAATTTGGAATCTTGCTTTTCTCCTACCGCTTCATATATTCTTTAGAAATAATAATGTACATAATAAAATACACTTTTTAGATGCTTCTTTTTCCCTTTTTTCTTTTTTCTTCTTTACATGTAGATATTTGATTTGATCAAAGTATAAATTTGATTACCAAAAATGAAATATCTTCTCTTATACAGATATTAATTTCTTATTTAATTAACTTGAGGATTGCAAACATTATTTTTAGCTCTTTAAAATAATGCAGATTTACAAATTGACAATAATATTCTGTGTATAAAATCTTGTACTTTTATTGACAAGTTACAGGACACCATTTAAATAATATATATTACATTGCTGGTCCAGAAAAACTGTAAATACACCTTATAAAGCTTAATTTTAGTGTTGCAGTAAATCTAAAGTACATTAATGGTAAGTAATTTGTAAGGCCAGAGCTACTTCATAGTATTTTTGCTGTTTTATATTAATCTTTATTTACTAAATCAACATACTTTCATTATGTTTGAGAAATTAATCACTGTATCATGTGCAGACAAGAAACACCTGTACATTTAGAACATTGATCATACAAGAAAGAGGGATTAAATTAAATTATGTTGAAAACTTAAATATTGATATCAAAGATAAGCTTTTGCATTAAGATCAGTCTTATTTATCCCTGATCTTGTAGTGTTCAATGTTAATTTCAAAATCAAACATTTTGTCAAGAGATTAATAACACAAAAGTCTTTTCCAAAGATAGATCTACAGAAGGCAATTTTTCACAAGTGATCCGATAATATTTCATTGTCACTTTTTCTTAGAACCAAAACCTGAGAAGCCCATTATTGCTGCCATTTCATCTGAAGTTCCACCATTGTCTTCATTGACTTCTTCAATTTTTCTTTTCTTATCTTTTCTCTTCTCTTTTCTATACTCCTTAATCTTTTCCTCCTGTGAATAATAAAAATAACCCTGTTAAAAAATCAAATAATAAATTAAGTATACCTGCAAAAAAAATTAACACAGAGGACAAAACAAACCTCTTCCTTTAATTCTTTTACTCTCTGTTCTAAATCATAATCTTTCTTTTTTTCTTCTAGTTTTTTTTTATTCATTGCAAAGCGAGCTTTAACTTGTTCCAATGTAGATCGTTCTATTTTCATTGACATACCCAAATTACGTTGATCTAAAACAAAATTGTTTAAGGAATTATTATCTGTTAACATATGCAAAAATGAATAGAAAAAACAAGTATAATTAATTACGTTTTGTTCCATTTATATGATCCAAGAAATTAATTGAATCCTTAACAACACAATCACAGACATTGCAGTAGTACCTGCAAGTGTAACATTTGTACATAATCATAATTTTATATGTGTTATTTCATAAAAGAATTTTAAAAATCTATTGTTACCCTCCAGTTTGAGAAGATGGAGTATTTTTATTAATAACAACACTTTTTCCTAATTTAGATTCAAGATCAACTTTATAATCTCGTTGTTTGAGCAACTCTCTTTTTACAGCTGGTTGTTTTGGAATCCCCAATTCTTCTTCAGCAATCTCATCCTGGAGACGCTGAAGTGCTATTCTTTCGTATTCTTCTCTGTTCCATTTTCGCCTATGATCGTCGGGTCGCTAGAAGTAATACATTATATTACATAAATTAACTAACATCAATCAACCAGAAACAAAAAATATATTAATTTTAACAACATATATCTAAGGTCCCTTCTGTTGAATCACATTAGTATCTTTATAAGTCATTCGATATATATAATAAATACTTTTTTATATTATTCTTCAATCGTTAGTTTATGTTTGTTCTCATCTCATACAGATTTTAAATTTCGATACTTAAAATATCTTTAGTTTTATTCTTTTAATGCGAAACTCAGGTTAGAAAATATGTCAAATGGTATTTTTAATTGTTATTGCATTAGTTACTCTAATAACAAAAAGAAATTAACAAAGTTTAACATGAAAATTCAAACAATTGAAAATTATTGAACTTACCATAGACATTTTCGAAATTCTTAGTTTCAACCAAACCTATTACGCATAAAAAAATAAACCGTTTCCCCCCTCTTCTTTCTGCTTACTTACAGAGCATGCTCCTGTTATATATTGGTATTCATAATCTCAAATACAGTTGTTTTCATAAAAAGA